AGCGAGATGCACGTAGTGTCCTTGAGTTCCGGAGCAGTTGACATTATGCGAGTGGCATCAAATAATCCTGGATGCGCCACCTGTAAGCTCATGTCCGCAACCCCGCAACTTTCCCCGGGTAACAAGCTGGAAGTCGTACTTCCGTTCAGTGAAACTTTGGTCGTTGTCACATGTAACTCGCGACTTATTCCCTTTGCAACCTGCATTGTTTGAGGACTCGAGCAGACAACTGCCGCTGTGGTAGGAGTGCAGTCCCACCCAGTTCCTTTTGGTGTAATCGTGGCATGTTGCTGACTGACTCTGACCCCAGCGGCCGGAGATGCAGGGTATACAATCAATCGGCTGTAAGTACCTCCGGGTGAACTAACTTGTGAGGAAGCACCTTTCGCGGTACCTGCATCTGATACTGAATTTGTGGTGTGGTAGTTCGAAGGAACGACCTCCGCTGCAGTGGGACAATCATCTCTGGTAGGCACTGATGCAATGCGGGGATCACGTAAAGGAGCACCCTTAACCAAGGTCGCAGACACGCCAGCCAAGCGGTTATTAGTATCTTCCGACTGACATACCCGCGGGACCTTGGCTTGTGAGCTAAGTGTGTCCGGGGCCACCTGATACCGGCCATTAGTCTGACTCTCGATTAAGCCGGCTCGGTTAAGCATTTGATCACGATAAACAGGGTTCCTAAATTCAACCAGAATCGACCTAGCAAATCCTTGCTGACGCAGTGGACCAGTCTCTCTCCAGCTACCTACACGATGCACCCTTTTGATACCGACGTTTAAAGGTATCCCGGCTATGCGGAGGATGTCGTGTATTCGTCTCCTGTCCAGGTCTCGTCGAGCCTTTGCCTCGTGTATCACCGGCTCCTCCCGATTGTAGATAAGAACATTTCTTTGCCTGCCCATGGCAATCTCCGCACTCCGAGCGTAGCTATTTAAAGAATCGCGCAATTCGTCAATCTTCACTCGCAGTGCATCTATGAGCAAAGCCTGGTCGCTGATCACTTTTTCTGCGATGGAGAGCCGCTGCAGATACTTCGCGTCAGCTACCCTCTGAACATCAGGCAACTGTGGAGGAGCAGCAAGCCGCTCGCGTAATAAGCGAGCACAAGTATCAGCTAGGCACACACAGTGAAAACAGATCCACTTCAGTTGGGGATGCTGGGTGTACAGATCAATGGACGAATGGTCTAACCTAGAGCAGGTGCTATGATACCATAATAAACATCGGTCACACTGTATGCCTTCCGTGACTGCAGTGCCACAACTGTGCTCGCCACATTTATCGTTAGTATCAAGAGCCATAGTTATTTGGAAGGTGGAACCAAGAATAAGCAAAAAGCGAAACGAGTAAGCAGATGCAGAAGAAAACAACAAAGAACAAACTCACGGAAGACAAGAAGCCTTTGGGACGGGTAGGTTCAAGTATGCAGCAGCAAAGATAGCAGCCCAAAAGTCGAAGAGTCGAAAGCCCTGGTTCACTTGCTGGTAGAAGGGCTAGATGTGGAAAGGCGGACCGTAGCGACGTCAGGAAGGATTTGGTTGTGACTGGAATACGAGCCAGGCGATTCAAAGTCGAGTCGGTCAGGAAAAGTGCTACAGCAGACTGCAGTATCTTGATGCCACAAAGCAAAAACGCCAGTCGGAATACTCGAAGAACGTAACAGATAATCCGGTAATTAAGCACTTCCAAGCCCCTTTGGATCACAAGAAAAGTGACAAAAGCCAAATTTTTTGCGCAGTGTTGTTCAACTACTGTTTGCAAACCAGGATTTCAGTGAAGAAAATCGTAAACGGTGAGACAAGAAAAGCACGCCGTGACCTTGTAAGGTTGGGTTGCTGGGCGACGACAGCTTGCCCTCCTCTGGAGAAAGATCACGTAGTACGTAATACGGCTCACCTTTGAAATGCGGTCTGTCACAGAATACGTAGGCATTCCTCTTCTGTTTGGCAAACGACTTTAAGGGGGCGAACTTTGAGTGGGATGGCTTTTTAGATGATCGACATCATCTTGGAGAGCAAAAGGTTCCATGCTTCATCGACACGCAGGCACTGTGGAATACTCCAATCTTCCGTGCTTGCCGAGGTATGAAGTCTGGATGGATCTATAGGTCAAAGTTCCGATGATATGCTCCGTAGTCACTTGCATACTACCGAGCCGGAATGCAGAGACGATGTTAATTCCCTGTTCGGCTTAATCAAACAACAAAGAGACCAAGCGCTCGAGAAGTATTCGGTCATCCAGAATACTCTCCGCTGAGGTGGCTTTGTTCGATTCGATCGTGTTCATAACGATGAAGCAACGGTCCCGAGAAGGTGGAGTGCACTCAGGGATTTGCGGCCTGCGAGAGGAGGGATTATCCTTGATCACTTTTTCCAGCTCAGTAAGTTTATTGAAAACTAGCTGCATTTTTGACTGAGAATCTGAAAGTTTAGAACTGGGTTTGGGATTAGACTTGGCAGCATTGGTGGCTGTGCTTTGACTGATTAAAGTTGTGGTCACATTTCCGTTCACTGGGGAAGAGTTATACCAGGTGTTGGCTTTGGCCTTGGGCTTACAGACCATTCTCCGTGGGGGCTTGCTTTCAGCTAAGCACAGGCTGGTTGGTGAAGCGGTGGCGCTCGCCATGACAACATACGTCTTGAGCTTGTTTTCCGGTCGACACATGACCTTACTGTTAGGCAATGACTCAGCCGACGTAGCGGAGAGTGCGGCTTCGGTTTGGTGTGGGCGTAGCAGACCCAGATGTAGGTAGGGATACAGATGATGCGGGTGACTCATCTTCCGTATTCTACACGGCCAGAACGGCAGGGCTACATATATTAAAAGGAAAAGGATTAGTCAGAAGGTTTTTGACTCACTAATACTCGGCATGAGTCACAATGGGAGCTCAAGACCTCAGGCAGTGAGTTGGTTATTCATATAAGGCGTCATCGATGTTACAGCACGTGTGAAGCCACTCTTCGCACAGAGCGCACTGAACAGCTTTTGAGCGGGAGGTGACACGTCTGACGCAATCAATGCACCTGGATGTCATAGCGGTTTACTGTATTGATACATAAGATCGAAAAAAAGTCAGGAGCAAAAAACCCCAATGGGGATCGTTACTCGCAGTCCGTGATCGAGAGTTCCAGTTCGGGTGGGACTGGAACGATAGGAGAATCCCGTGAGTGCTCCATCTAGAGTGGATCCGTAAGCCAGGAATGGTTGAAGTGCTCAGAGTTCTTGACCGATCTAAAACGGAACACCCGTGTCTCACCCTGGCCAACCAGTTAACATTCACGTTCAAGTTCAAGTTCACGTGGGACTGGAACGATAGGATGAAGTTCAAGTTCAAGTTCAAGCGGGACTGGAACGATAGGATAGATCCCGTGAGTGTTCCTTCTTCGGCGGGTCGTTGAACCAGGAGTTGGCGAACTTTGAAATACTGATGGACCTAAAACAAAGACCGCATCACACCCTGTCCAACCAATTAATGCACACGTATCCTGCCCTAGCAGTCCCTGCTGGGTCGGTTACGTGAAGTAAGAAAGAGAAAAAAGCAAACGCAGGAGGCAAAAGAGAAAGTGGTAAGAGCTAAGCAAGTGGAATACCAAGATAGTTGAGTCAATAAAAAAAGAACTGAAAAATGAAGGTGAGTCAGCTAGGAAAAAGGAAAGGTTTGCTGTTGCCACCCAAGAGCATCGAGCTGGCGCGCAAAACCCTTAACCGTAGGTTCCCTAACCACGTGATCTGGAAGCGAATTCCAGCGATCTATAACTCGGCGCGATAGACGAGTTTCCGTCCTAATCCTATCAGACCGTGGTTTATGCAGTTTCAGTGGGTGACCGCGGAGACTAGGTAACGTAGGACGCGAGGGCTTCATCCGTCCCGGTTTTTCGCGAGACGACCATATTGAAGTGGAAAACAACGCAGAATTTAAAAACACGTATACAACCGTAAAACTACCCCAATCAAAAGGCAAAACAGGGTGTAAAACGGGATTAAAAAGGGAACAACTGCAAAATTACCAGTAAGCGTCACCCTGCTAGCACAAAAGGACTTTGAAGGCGAAAATGGGTGGTAAAGTCCTTAACCGTCAACTATAAACCTGAATCCATGGTTAAGGACTTTTGCGACCATTTTGAAGGCGAAATTTGTCCTTCCACTGCAGCTGTATTAAGTACACAGTGAAGGACTTTGCACCCTGTCCAATCAGAAACCTAGGTTAAACAGTGAATGACAGACAGACTGGCGGAGTATGAATGGTCATTGACGGTTGACCTTGGACGGCGTGGACCAATGGCCGTGCACGCACCACGACGCTACGCACGCACCTAGCCGGTACCCCTATACGCCGCACCTATCCGCAACCCCTGTACGCCGCACCTAGCTGCAGCCCCTGTACACCCCACGCATTGGCTACCCACCGAAGCTCGCACACCGCTGGAAGGGGGATCTCAAATCCCCACCTGCGTTTCCCGTTAATAATAATATGTAACGCAGGTATTACTACCGCTTACTAATGCAAAGTAAATGTGCGAGTCATAGCTAACCGCCCATATGACCTCTTTTCTCCTGCGGCGTAACATCCTGTTGCTGCTGAATGGAGGAAACCATGTTTAACACGGCGCAAAGGGTCCAGTCCCACTACTCATAGTGATGCCTTAGTATTTCATTCCCAATAAGCACAACGATAGCGGGAATGGAATCCGATTTTTTCACAGTAAGAAGTCCGTTTACCGACGCATAGTGGTGGATACATTAAATGGAAGGACATCAATATTGACAACAGAGGTCCATGTTCCGTTTGAATCGGTTACGCTTCTTCCATGCTGTCTCATGGGCGCTCCAAGTCCACGAATTGGAAAACCTTATTTAAGAAATGTTAATAAGTAATCCAACATTTCATACCTGCTGGCTGCTTGCACAACCTTTGGTAGTGTCGCGCCACGCGTTGCCACGAATCGATTTCAAGTATTTCCTGACATCATCATCAGGTGACACAATACTTCCGGAGAAACGTTTTAATAGAGCAGCTACGACGGGGATGAAAGGGCAAAGATGTTGCTTACCTTGCACTTCGGTGAATAGCTTCATCTTCCGGAATCCGTGTTTGTTGCGGAGACCGGAGTAATTGATCACCGCCATCAATGACCGCGTTAGAAGACGCTGCATCATGAGGCGTACAGTCTCCGACAACGTGTCTCCATGCACATCTTTCAGTTTAGACTGCATGCATATGTGAGGTATCAAGGAATCTTACCAATTGTTGAATGCATCCTGCATTAGTATAACAAATGACTGTAGTTCCTCCACCGATGTAATTTGCGAAGGAAGCGGCGTTGCCTGCTGCCCTGTTTGCCCGGCAATGGTTGCAGCCATCGATCTCATGTAACTCTTCACATACTCCAGTGTCTCCATATGTATGTATTCTCAACAGTCTATTAGGTAGACACTGAACATTACCTGAAAATGTATACCGTTTTAGGAATGTAGGAAGTTACCATCTATGAACTCCAGTTTATTCTTCAGTTGGTCCATATCGCCTGCAAGAAAATGATAAAACCTCAAGTACATGCTTACGGTTAATGCCATTCCAATCGCTTGTAGGAACGGTGATGAAGGAGGAGTCAGGTAGACTCTAGGACTAGGCCACTCAAGCTACAAAGTGTAAGCACCAATCGGAATCCGTTTTCCGAATCTGTTCGTTCGAATTTTTATCACAGTGAGATGTAGTATTGTACGCTGAAGTTTAATATTAAGAAAAATGTATCCCTTACCTGTATAAGCTGGTTTGTATCTGCCCATGTTGCATTGCTGGGAAGACGACTGACGTGGGTTTTACCCATCGAGCGGGACAACTCAGTTAAAGAAAAGATAGCTAGAGAGCCATAGAGAACGGCTGTGGGGACCATGCGCTTCCTGGAGTGGCTCAAAGTCATCGGCAGTCTGCAGACTTCGGTGTACCTGTATGGTATTGGTGCACAAACGCTCTGTTTTTTCTTATATGAGGTAATCAGCAATAACATAGGGAGATTATAAATTACCGGTATGTGGTAATGGTTCACATTTTGTCGGTTTGTACACCGAGGTCTCATTAATAATGCTGAACATCAAAGGTTATGTTGAAGATGGCGACGTACATATATAAAGATCTTGATTAATAGAAACACCGAAACGTCGTGCAATATCGTCAAAGATATTACTAAGCGAATGCGCCCCGCAAAATAGAAAAGAAACTCACAATGAGGCTATCTACGTAGAGTACAAGTAATTGCGCAAGTGAAGATAGCAATGCGCAAACTGTGCGTTAGGGCGATAGCAGCTAGGGCAAACCAAGGACAAAGCTTGAGAAATGAAATCAAGCTGAAAAGTTCATTTTTGCAATACTGCAATGAAAACACATATAGTGCTTCTTATATCTAACTCACGTCGAAATGGCTTACTACCAACTCAAACTTCCTTCGCTATCGAAAATGCACAACGAAAAATAGAAGTCCACCACGGCGAAGCAGAATTGACAACCAAACGGAGCAATGCCAGACGAAGCGGAAAATTTAAGGGCGCGGCAAAATTCAAAAGGTGGGTCGATGACTCTTTTTAAGAAATCATATAGGATTTTTTGATAGAATGAAGCAACTAACCAATGTTATGCTTATATTTTAGTTAACGTACCCTACACATATATGTGCACCCCTTGCTGGAATACGGAGTAGATCAAGTAGCCACCCATATATTACTGAAGGACTTTGAAGGACTTTTGAAGGACTTTGACGACCGAAAAAAGGACTTCATGTGCTAGCAGGGCAGGAAGACGCTTTGGCCAGTATCACTTTAGTCGACCCAAGATATCTTGGATCAGACGAAATTTGACAAGAGCCAAATTTCGTTTCAAGTGTTTATTCAAACACTGTTTTCCACGTTATTTCAACTAAAAACCTCGATCAGTATGGCACGCCAAAAAACCAAGTTACAGCGTAGCACTCACAGTACCACTCTCAGATTCAGATTCAGATGGACTAGAACGATAGGAAAATCCCTTGAGTGTTCCTTCTTGAGCAAATCGTTGAGCCAGGAGATGATAACGTGTTAGTTCTTGATAGATCTAAAACTGTAGCATTCTGAAGATTAGCCGGTTTGCCTGTGTAAAATTCTAACCAAACTTCTATAATTGTACACCTAGGCAACCGGTGTGGTTTGTTGAACTGCTTGCTGAGTTCGAATGTTTTACTTGCTCATCGCCATTTTTGCTTGGCGCTCGCTTCGGTTGCAACGCGCGACTGCTCTGTGTGCTGTGTTTGCTCCGTTTCCCTAGCTAGAGCGTCCACGGTGTCGTTCGTTTATAGCTAGCTAACAGGGAATCTTTTGCTGAACCAATAAAAGTTTCCCTGCAACTCGATCTGTCTTCTGGAATCGCTCTCTGGGCTCTCGGAATAGGCAACCCTCTAAATTGGTGACCCCGGATCCGGAACAATCTCAACGCCGGATATTTCGAACTTTTCTCCGGTGAGCTCGTTCCATTTATTTTTCATATTTTCCGGTTTTTTGCATACGGTAGCCTATTTTTTGCATCCTTTTTTAAGCCATGGATTCTGCAGAACCTAAGGTAGAGTCTACGCTTAGCGTTGTACCACTCTCAGTTCCACCTTTTTGGGACATGGATCCTGTTTTGTGGTTCGCTCATCTTGAGGCCGAGTTTTATAACCACAGAATCACTTCCGACTACGCGAAGTATTGCAAACTCCTGTCCTATCTCCCCAAGGAGATATCAATGCAGGTTCGTGACGTCATCATTTCTCAGACCAAAAACCGCTATGAGGCTCTCAAGGAGGCCACGATCAAGTGTGTTATGCCCTCTGAGAAAGTTCGCTTGCAACAGCTTTTCAGGGATCTGCAGCTGGGCGACAAACTGCCCTCAACTCTGCTACGAGAGATGCAACAACTCCTTGGTTCTTCAACCATGGATGAGACGTTACTTCGCGAACTATGGCTACAAGGGCTACCGGAAAACACGCAAGCGATTCTCGCTACAGTGGGCTCCGTTTCGCTCACTCAACTCGCAGATCTAGCGGATCGAGTTGTTGAACGATCACAGCCACAAGCCGACGCCAGCAAGATCAATGCCGTCGCGTCCCAGGGCACTTCTATCACTGGCTTACAGTCAACCATAGAAGCCCTGCAAGCACAAGTTGCGACACTTAGTCGTTAGGTGCAACAGCTTACTATGACCCGTCGTCGTCCTAGCCGCTCAAAATCGCCCTGCAAACGTTCTAAGCCAAGCAACAGACAGGCTAGCTGTTGGTACCATCAACGCTTTGGTACCGCAGCTCGTAAATGTGTCAAACCTTGCAACTTCGCCGAGAAGCAGGGAAACTTCTCGGCCGTAACGGCGACGGACGCGCCTGGCCAACACCAAAGTCGCCTCATCCGCGTCAGGGATTTAACTTCCGGCACCGAGTTTCGAGTCGACACTGGTGCCGAATTTAGTGTTATACCCCGTAGCTCAGAGGAAGTCGTCTCACCATCGCCGACCAAGCTGCGTGCCGCCAATGGCACACCAATCGCAACTTTCGGCGAAAAGCTGCTAACACTCAATTTAGGCCTCCGGCGAACCTTTCGCTGGCCTTTCATAATCGTTGCTGTGACTTTCGCCATCATAGGCATAGACTTTCTTCAACGCTTCGACCTCATCGTCAAAGCTAAAAGGAAGAAGCTTATCTACTCCAGGACACAGCTCAGTATTATCGGGACCAGCGTCAACGTGGCTGCTATCACTGCCACTCGTGTCCTACCTCAAGCTTCGCAACCTTTTCTAGAACTTTTCACCAAGCACCCTAAACTCGTTCGCGTCCTGAACGAGTTGCCTCCTGTGACGGCAAACGTCACGCATCACATCTGCACTAAGGGCCCACCTGTTTCGGCCCGCCATCGCCGATTAGCCCCGGACAAGCTCAAAGCTGCTAAGGCGGAACTCGAGCAAATGCTCGAACTGGCAATCATCCGCCCGTCCAAAAGTCCATGGGCATCACCATTACACATGGTACCGAAGAAATCCGGTGACTGGCGCCCTTGTGGTGACTACAGGGCACTTAACAAAGTTACCGTCCCGGATAAATACCCTTTTCCGCACATGCACGACTTGACCTCAGCTCTAGCTGGCAAGTCTATCTCCAGCAAAGTCGACTTAGTTCGTGCCTACCACCAGATACCTGTCGCACCAGATGACATTGCTAAAACAGTAGGCAACACGCCATTCGACCTATTCGAGTACCTCAGAATGCCTTTCGGCCTCAGCAACGCTGCCCAAACTTTTCAGCGTTTCATTCATGAGGTTACGCGAGGACTCGAAGGCATTTATCCTTATCTAGATGACATCATCATCGCCAGCACTTCTGACGATGAACATCTTCACCACCTCGACGCACTCTTCCAACGCTTGACGCAGCATGGGGTAACCGTCAACCCCGATAAATGCGAGCTTGGCCATAGTTCCATCGACTTTCTTGGCCACCGCATATCCGCCTCTGGTATTGAAGCCCTGCCAGACAAAATCCAGGCACTGAAGGACTATCCCGCTCCCAGTTTCTTCGAGCAGTTACGCCGATTCCTTGGCCTGGTCAACTATTACAGACGCTTTATACCTAACTGCGCGAGCATTGTCCAACCAATGATTGACTTGCTCCGCGGTAAACAGCGGTATTTTCACTTTGCAGATGATGCTAAATTGTCTTTCGAGAAGCTCAAAGACGCTATCTACAACATAGCGCTTCTCGCCCATCCAGACACGTCTGCATCACTCTCTCTGACAACTGACGCATCAGACACTGCCGTCGGTGCAGTTCTTCAGCAGCTCATCGACCATCGATGGATACCTCTAGGTTTCTTCTCAAAGCGCTTACAACCTGCCGAATCACGTTACAGCACCTTCGGTAGGGAACTGTTAGCTATCTACCCAGGTATCCGACATTTCCGTCATTAGCTCGAAGGTCGAAATTTAACAACCTTCACCGACCACAAGCCATTGAGCTACGCAATCAATGGCGCAACAGACAAGTACTCGCCGCGGGAAACTAGACACCTAGACTACGTTTCTCAGTTTACGACAGACGTACGTCATGTCTCAGGTGCTCTCAATCCCGTCGCGGATGCGCTTTCACGCATTCAGCAGATCAGCTTATCGCCTGGCACCAACATTGATCTATCCGCTATGGCTGCTGCCCAACAAGCTGATCCCGACATCGACAAGCCACGACGCAACACCACTGAGACGATCACCATTGATCGACTCAAACCAGCTTTCCTCGACAAGTCTGACTCTTCGGTGAAACAAGCACCACAGCCTGTGCCATCACAGCTGGCACCGCAACTTCAGACTAGTCAGTCCGGTCCAGCAGAACCGACAACCCCAACCGACAGCACTCCTACTCGCCCTGCTATCAATCGCCGCGGTAGGAAACTCAAACCCTCAGTTCGTTTTTCAGACTTCGTTCGCACTTACTATTTTACATAGAACGTGCCTTCGAAATTTTCTGCTCTTACTAAACGTTTTTGAAAATCCACAAAAAAGACCAAAACGTTTTGAAACTACTAAAAAAGAGCAAAACCTTTTGAAAACCCAAAAACAGCTTTGCACGTTTTTCGCTTTGCACTCTTTTGTGTATTGCTATGCATTTATGCTGCTTTTTCATTTTGCTTTCCATATACACCGTCGGTTGGTTGCACCTCGGTTTCACTTTCCGCTGGATCTCCGCACGTCAACTGCAAGTGGAACGAACTTCCTGTTCAACCGCATACGTGAACTTCACTAACTGTCCCCCCCTACAAACAGTTTCTTTTACCGTTTCGACACCGTAGGGAGGACACGGGTGGGAGCCCGCTAGGGTCCGATTGCACGGTTCTCCCTCAGCAGCTGCATCAGGTTTCACAACCTGGTCTCGCAGAAGGCTGGCCCGCGACGGACAGTCCTCACGTAGATCGAAGGACTGCTTACACAGTCCCTTCTGGGAGAGGGCTATGTAGCAGTCTGGAGATTCCCTGGTTTGCCTGTGTAAAATTCTAACCAAAATTCTATAATTGTACACCTAGGCAACCGGTGTGGTTTGTTGAACTGCTTGCTGAGTTCGAATGTTTTACTTGCTCATCGCGATTTTCGCTTGGCGCTCGCTTCGGTTGCAACGCGCGACTGCTCTGTGTGCTGTGTTTGCTCCGTTTCCCTAGCTAGAGCGTCCACGGTGTCGTTCGTTTATAGCTAGCTAACAGGGAATCTTTTGCTGAACCAATAAAAGTTTCCCTGCAACTCGATCTGTCTTCTGGAATCGCTCTCTGGGCTCCCGGAATAGGCAACCCTCTAAAAAACGAAACACCCGAAACACACCCTGATCAACCAACTACTGCCCGCGTTCCCTGCACTAGCAGTCCGCGCTGTGTAGGTTACGTGAAGTGAGAAAGAAGTAGAAAGTACATGGAAGATAAAGGGCAATGAAAGTCATTAAAATGAAGGATAACACCAAAGAGTGAAGATAATGACAGAATAAGAACTGAAAGTTTGAAGATGGATATGGTCAGGAGAAGGGAAAGGTTGCGTGTTGCCACCCAAGAGCGTCTAACTGGCGCTCGAAACCCTTAACCGTAGGTTCACTGTCTACATTTTCTGGAAGCGAGTTCCAGCGCTCGATAACTCTACGCGATAACCGCATTTCCGCCCTGATCCCGTCAGGACGCGGCTTGTGTAGCTTCATGGGATGACCGCGAAGACAAGGCAACCTAGCCAGGCTAAATAGCCAGCGCAAGTCCGGCCCAACCTTCCCAGGTAAAATGCCGTAAGTAAGGATTAGGTCTCCTCGAAGCCGTCGGTAGTGCATCGAATACATACCCAAGCTAAGTAGACGCTCGGGGTACGATTGCCCCGTAACCCCTCGACCAATTTGGTACCTACTCTCAAAACCCTCTCAAGCTCCATTTTGTCCGGAACAAGGCAGGGCGCGCAAGCCTGGAAGCAGTATTCCAGATGGGCGAGAATGGGGGCGGTGGGGGGGGGGGCGCCGGGGCGGGGTGGGGGTCGAGGAGAGCGGGAGGGATCTTTGGGTATGAGGAAGGGCGTGTATGGGGTCGGGTGGATGGGGGGGGTGGGGGTCTGGGGAGCGGGGGCGAGGGGGGGGTGGGGGTGGGGAAGAGGGGACTCGGGTGGACTGGGGGTGCGTGTGACGAAGGGAAACGGTTGAGTGTCGTGGGGGAGGCGCCCGGGGGGTGAAAGGGGGAGAGGTGGTGGGGAAGGGGGGGCCGGGGCGTGGGGTGCGGGTGGCGGCGGGGGGGTGAAGGTGAGGGGGGGGGGGAGGCGGCAGGGGAGGAGGTAGTTGGCGGGGCTTTGCGGCGTGAAAGGGGTGGGTCGAAAGAAGGTGGGGGAGGGGGGGAGGGGAGCGAGAGCTTGGGGTGGGTCGAGCGCCGTGGGTGGCGGTGGAGTGGGGTGGGCGGGTTCGGGCGGATGCGGTGGGGGGGGTGGGTCGGAATGCGGGGGGGGGGGGGGGGGGGGGGGGGGGGGGGGGGGGGGGGGGGGGGGGGGGGGGGGGGGGGGGGGGGGGGGGGGGGGTGGGGGGGGGGGGGGGGGGGGGGGGGGGGGGGGGGGGGGGGGGCGGGGGGGGGGGGGGGGGGGGGGGGGGGGGGGGTGGGGGGGGGGGGGGGGGGGGGGGGGGGGGGGGGGGGGGGGGGGGGGGGGGGGGGGGGGGGGGGGGGGGGGGGGGGGGGGGGGGGGGGGGGGGGGGTGGGGGGGGGGGGGGGGGGGGGGGGGGGGGGGGGGGGGGGGGGGGGGGGGGGGGGGGGGGGGGGGTGGGGGGGGGGGGGGGGGGGGGGGGGGGGGGGGGGGGGGGGGGGGGGGGGGGGGGGGGGGGGGGGGGGGGGGGGGGGGGGGGGGGGGGGGGGCGGGGGGGGGGGGGGGGGGGGGGGGGGGGGGGGGGGGGGGGGGGGGGGGGGGGGGGGGGGGGGGGGGGGGGGGGGGGGGGGGGGGGGGGGGGGGGGGGGGGGGGGGGGGGGGGGGGGTGGGGGGGGGGGGGGGGGGGGGGGGGAGGGGGGGGGGGGGGGGGGGGGGGGGGGGGGGGGGGGGGGGGGGGGGGGGGGGGGGGGGGGGGGGGGGGGGGGGGGGGGGGGGGGGGGGGGGGGGGGGGGGGGGGGGGGGGGGGGGGGGGGGGGGGGGGGGGGGGGGGGGGGGGGGGGGGTGGGGGGGGGGGGGGGGGGGGGGGGGGGGGGGGGGGGGGGGGGGGGGGGGGGGGGGGGGGGGGGGGGGGGGGGGGGGGGGGGGGCGGGGGGGGGGGGGGGGGGGGGGGGGGGGGGGGGGGGGGGGGGGGGGGGGGGGGGGGGGGGGGGGTGGGGGGGGGGGGGGGGGGGGGGGGGGGGGGGGGGGGGGGGGGGGGGGGGGGGGGGGGGGGGGGGCGGGGCGTGAGCTGGGTGGTGGGACTGAGTGCGGGGCGTGGTAGGGGACGGGCAGGCGGTGGCTGGGTGCGGAAGCGGGGCCGCGTTGTGTGAGTGGTGTGGGAAACGGGGTGGGGAGGTCGTGGTCGGGGGGCTAGGCGAGGGGCTGGTGAGGTGGGGGGGGTGTGGCGGGGGAGGGGGGGAAAGAGCAGGAATGGTAAGGTGGGGGGGGGGCGGGGCGGGCAGGCTGTGGTGGCCCGATCGGGGTGAAGCCTCGGGGGAACGAGCGGCGGGTGGGGGGACGAGGCGCGTGGGAAATGGGGGGTGCGGGTGCCGGCCGGTGGGGTTGTTGGGTTGACGGTGGGGCGATCAACCAACTACTGCCCGCGTTCCCTGCACTAGCAGTCCGCGCTGTGTAGGTTACGTGAAGTGAGAAATAAGTAGAAAGTACATGGAAGATAAAGGGCAATGAAAGTCATTAAAATGTAGGATAACACCAAAGAGTGAAGATAATGACAGAATAAGAACTGAAAGTTTGAAGATGGATATGGTCAGGAGAAGGGAAAGGTTGCGTGTTGCCACCCAAGAGCGTCTAACTGATGCTCGAAACCCTTAACCGTAGGTTCACTGTCTACATTTTCTGGAAGCGAGTTCCAGCGCTCGATAACTCTACGCGATAACCGCATTTCCGCCCTGATCCCGTCAGGACGCGGCTTGTGTAGCTTCATGGGATGACCGCGAAGACAAGGCAACCTAGCCAGGCTAAATAGCCAGCGCAAGTCCGGCCCAACCTTCCCAGGTAAAATGCCGTAAGTAAGGATTAGGTCTCCTCGAAGCCGTCGGTAGTGCATCGAATACATACCCAAGCTAAGTAGACGCTCGGGGTACGATTGCCCCGTAACCCCTCGACCAATTTGGTACCTACTCTCAAAACCCTCTCAAGCTCCATTTTGTCCGGAACAAGGCAGGGCGCGCAAGCCTGGAAGCAGTATTCCAGATGGGGCGGAACGAAAGCTGAGAACAGCTTCACAAATATGTCAGCAGTTAAGACCCCGAAAGAACGGCGTATTAACCATAACAATCTGTCCTATCAGTCCCTGTTGTTGCAGTCATGGGAATTAAGCAAAGGATAGGAAGAGAAATCGAAGGTACAGTATAAAGTGCAATAAAAATTAAAAAATACCGTGGCGGGGCCTTTAAATCGGCCGTTGCCCTTTTCGCCGAACATCATTGTTACATAATCCAATGTATATATCTCAGTATAGCAACATTAAACCGACAGGTATTTTCTTGAATCAATTTCCAGCGTCGCTGCAACACTTTAAGTTATCCAATCTTACATATGCATACAATATAGCGCGTACAATCCCCGATATATTGTTGCTGGACACGAAATTCCACGTCAGCTGAAGAGAATTTAGTAAAAACTTTTTTGAGAAGTCCTTGCCGTTTGTAAAGGATACGAATACCGAAGATTTAGCCTAACCTTTTGGGAGCATTGCTTGATTGATCAGACAGTGAATACTCATTTTTTATCCATTTCTAAACTTTGCATTTTACTGGTAACCCTCTTGTAAATTTACTGTTCATAATGTAAAATGCTAAAAATGCACCCTTTTGGGTATATAAAGCATAGATATACTTGCCTTGCATTGAAACGTAGAGGAGCAATTTAAGTTTGATGGCGCGAGTTTTTCAGCGAAATGGGCAGCTTCCGTATTGCTACCAAGAGCGACAAGTTGCTACTCAAACCCCTTAACCCTACATTCCTTAATCATATTTTCCGGAAGCATGATCCAGCCCGCCATTACTCAGCGTGACAACCGGATTTGCGCCCTGAGCCGATTGGACCACGGTTAGTCCGGCTTCAAGGAATGGCTACGTAGAATCAACAATCTAGCTGGGCTGAATAGCTAAGGTAAAACTGGACCAACCGCCCCAGTTAAGAAACGGTAGGTTATGATTGGGTCCCCTCTAAGCCTTCGGTAGTGCAATGAATGCATTCCCAAAGTAAGTAAGCGCTCAGGGGACGTCCGTCCTCGTAATCTTTCGACTAACCTAGTACCCACCCGTAAAATCCCCTCTAGCTGCACTTGGTCCCAGGCGAGTCAGCGCGAACAAACTTGGACGCAGTAGTCACGATGCCGCCGAAGGAAAGCCGAGTAAAAGCTCGTAAAAGTGCCGCCAGTCAAGACTCCGAAAAAAGCCGTATTAACCACAACATGCGGAAACCTTCGCTTGCGACTTTCTTCCAGTTTTGTCCGGAGTGTAAAGCCGAAAAGTGTATGGCGCCTAGATCCACCTGGCAAGATCCTTTTGGGCGTTCCTCCCTACCGACCAGTTACTTAGCAGGAGGACAAGCTTCTCCTATTCGAAGAAAGAACAACTTTACCTGATTTATGAACAGTAACCACAAACGGGACCAGTCCCAACGCTTATCCAATACTCGCTGAATAGCTTCGGAACCCCAGGACTATCGACAATATTCCACAGCTTCAGGTCATCAGCAAATAGCAGCGATGGTACCTCATACTTCACTTGTAGGACATTCACCTAGATAGAGAACAGCAACGGTCCAAGCACCGAGCCCTGCAGCAGGCCACTGAGGATAGACTGTCTGAAGGACAGGCCACGGCCTACCAGTAAACACCGTTCACTACCATCAAAGAAGGCAGTCACTCAGTGCAGGGAGCGGCCGGGTACCTTGTGAAAGGTCAGCCTTTACGCGAGCCCCGAATTGGGTACCATCTTAAATGTCTTCGAAATGTCGACAGAAAGCACGTCTAGTTCGTGGCCGTGATCCACCGCATCCGCCCAACGTTCGCGAGCCACCAGTAAATACGTTAGACACCAAACTCTTTTCCGGAATCCGTGTCGTACATTTCTTAGTAGATTAACTCTACTAAGCTAACACTCCAATGAACGTCTCACCAAGTTCTCGACTACAACACTCGTCAGACTAACTGGCCTGTAATTTGAAGACGGAGGCTTGACCTCAATTTTGAAGTTGGGACAGATGACTGCTTCTTTTCATTCGGTAGGTAATGCACAGCTGTCAAAGCATTTCTGAAAAATGATAGCGCGCGGTCCACTTCTTTCCGCAGCCAACACATGCAACAGTTTCGGATCAATTCAATCAGGCACAGCGGCCTTAGAAGCGTACGGCACTTGTCACAGCCTAGGAATTTCTGCCTCTGCTACAATAAGTTAAGATAGTCCAGAACCCTCTGGGAAACTGCAAATCAGCTCAACGCCGCTCAAAGACGATTCCCCTACAATCGCTGCTGCATAATGCCCACTAAGTACGCAGGCCTTGTCATAGTCCAAATGCGCGTGTGTACCGTCATCACACATCAATGCTGAAATTGACATGTTCGAACCGCAGCGCCTTTTGACATATGCGAAGTATCTTTTTGGGTTCTCTAAAGATTCGCCTGCTAACTCTTGCTCGAAATTGAGCCAAGCTTTTCTTAGGTGTTGCTTACACCTATTTCTAGCCTTACGGTATTTGTCATAAATATCGGTGGACGGAGCAGCTCGGTAAGTCCGCCAAATTTTAGACCTCTTTGTGAGCAGATGCTTGTTAGTGCACTCTATGCATGGCGACTGTCCTCATGCCTCCTTTATCCTTGTGACTGGGATGGAGGGATCAGAGTCCTCTGTGGGGTAGGAGGTAACCTTATCCCAGGCAACCTGGACAGTATCATCGCCTGAGGTCTCACAATGGAAACTCGAAGCCTTGGCTCTCATTACTTGATAGTCTGCGTGCCAGATATTTGGGCTGGATGCAACAATACTTTGTGAACGTCTAGACAGAGTAAAACTGAATAACAAACAAACAAGGTCAGTGGAACCCAGTGGAGGTCCTTAAATTAGGTCACCAACAAAGTCTAGTGACTTAGCAAATACAAGGTCCAAGGTAGACGGTACTTAGGCGTCCATGTACCTAGTGGGTGTATCAATGCTCTGACGCAACGTTACATAAACAACTAAATAAACGATTTATTTTCGGCGGCGCGACACACGCCTTCAAAGGCACCGGTGTGGTGATACAAACGAGCAACCTCAGTCAAGGAACAGAAATGTTACGATTTATCCAGTACATACTGGACATGTGCGTATGAATGTCTAGTATGTAAGTGGGTGCGGGTATAAGTAATCGTGTTGTGTGAAATTCGTAGTAGTACTGTGAATTTGTGAGTTTGTTCCCTGAATGCGCCGAGGTTAGAATGGAGCAGATGAAATCTTTGAAGTGCTTGACGTTCGCGGAATGTGTAAGCTCCTCCGGTGTGGCAGGGCCGTGACTTTATTTAGTGGCAGGTCATATCAGACGCGGCACATTGTTGTTAAGCAGACATTTATGACATTTTATGGGGTGAACGCTTGACAAGCGCAAACTCACCACGTCCTGGTTCACCGCCGCCGAGATTTTAGCTGGACCGGACTTAAGCCAACCACCCAGTTGGCCCCACGGGGCGGTTCATGGGTTAGCCAGAGCGTAAGCTCAAGTGGATCAGCGCCAAATGTGCCTGACACTGCGTCGCAAGAAATATCTGCCCAGCAGAACTACGGGAGGTTAAAGTTGCCAACCAGCATACACTTGTTTGCGGACTCGGAGCGAATGAAACCAAGTAACACTTTGGATAGGCTCTTAGAGCTTCTATGCACAATTACAACTGTAACCTGAGCAGAGGATATGCTAAGCACGGCCGACAGAGCTACAACAGCTAGGTCTGCCGTCTGCAATAAACACGTCATCAAAAAGATGGGACGATGGGACGAAGCAACCAACAAGTACTTACCTGGACCATGGCCTCACTTCCACTCTAACTATTTGCACCTAACTACCGATGTCCAGTGAGGGTAGCTGGACACGAATTCTTCGCTCCCCGGCAAATATACATAATCAGAGAAGACTTCATGTGGTTCTGCGAAGGATTAACACATCATATTCAATAAGAATATTTAGTACCCGACCTACCAATGGACAGGATCCAGGAAAGCAATAGGCAACCAGTTATTGCATCAACC